CTGGGAGACAAGTGGGAGACAAGTGTGAAATCATGCGGCCAGAGCACGTGGGAGACAAATGGGAGACAAGCCTGAAATCATGCGGCCAGAGCAGACAAGTGGGAGACAAATGGGAGACAAGTATAAAATCATGCGGCCAGAGCACTGAGAGCATCCAGAGCTTACTAAAAAACAAGTGGGAGACAAGTGGGAGACAAGTGGGAGACAAGGGTGAAATCATGCGGCCAGGAACACAAGCCCGGAGACAAACTCAAAATCATCCGGCCCGAGCATGCACCCCATTAAAAGGAGTAAGAACCCCTCACAGGTAAACCTGTTTGGGGAATAATTCAAACAAAAACTGCCACAAAAATGCGTCTAAAAGTCTAACTCGACTTGTGAACCTTTTGCCTATGGAACGTCCTGACTGTTTGGTACGTCTGCAGTTTAGTTTTTGCACTTTGCGGCAATTAATGGCGCCTTGACAATTTGTTCAATTTTCGACGTCAGGCAGCGGTGCAAACTTATGAACAAAGTTCCACACTAAACATGCAGACCACACTTCGGATGCCATACCTGAGCACACAAGTGGCAAAGAAGTGCACTAATTTTCTGTTTAGTTAATGAGTAATGAGCATCCAAAATGAGATTAGTGGTTTCATCGGCTGTTTGGATGGATAGGTGAATAACTGTCCCGTTGCACAATGAAAATTGAATTCTTGTTCTCATCAAAACTCAAACTAGATCAAAGACTCAATCGGTTGCAAGTTAAATCAACTTTTTGTCGTTGAGAATCCGAAAGCCCGACATGTGTCCGCATGAATTTCCATGAGATAACCGTATCAACTGGCCTGCCGTTTAGCCAGACAGAAACAGGTCAAACGAGTCAAGCAGCAACCAATTGGAGTTGCAATTCAAGGTCAAAAGCTGTCAGACCAGTTCGCTGGCAACCGTCGACAAGCACTCATTAAAACAGCGACAGGCTGCGTCACATGAGATGAGAACCTGCACCAGTCCCCCCACTCCCCCCCCTTCGCGATCATTGGTGGTCCGACAAGGCCTTGAAAGGCTTGTTCAGAAGGATGGAAAAACAGACAACTTTTGATGCAATGTGTGAAATAGACTTCAGACAACTCCGTTGGTTTCTGGTCTGTCGGGCATCTCAAACGGAAGGCACTGCGTCGGCAGCGGGGACGTGCGCATGCCATGGAAGCGGGCTGTGTGTCAACAACTTTCAATGTCTTGTTGTCTTGAGGTTGCTTGTGGCCGAGGGTCAGTCATTTGCAAAGCATGTCAAGAGTTTGACTTCATTAAAGAAATGAAGAGGGGGATGAAGGACCTGGTGTTTCGGACGCGCTCGTTCCGCATGGATCTGTTTTTAGTTCTGGAGGAGCTCCGTGATGCATTCGCCAGGAAGTGTGGATCTCAGATCGCATGTTGGGTTCATATTTCCCTTCCTTGGAAGGGAGGATCTTCCCGCTGCATTTCCAGGAAAGAATTCCAAGCGCGCGAGATTTGAACTTGCGAAAAGTCACGAGAGTGGCCTTTTTCAAGCTAGATGTTGCTCTTGATCACGACTGCACCGAAACTCGTGGTGAGTGTGCGTCACGTCAAAATTGTTGCAATGGAATGCATGTCCATGAGACGCCGATGGACTTCGACCGATGGATTTCGATCGATGGAAGCAATAGTTTCAAGCTTAAAGCTTGTTCAACGCTCTTTTTCTTTCTCAGAAGAGCCTTTCATTTGCCGAAGACACTCCACACAAGGGAGCTCCTCCAGGAATCTCCAACTCCTCAGTTGGATTGTCCTTGACTTTCTCTTGAACATCTTTGGACTCTCGATTCGCCGGATCGCTTCCAGCGTTCACAATCGTCCCTGCCTTCGGAGCTGGACAGGCTCCACAGGCTCCAGCGCTGCCAGATACTTTTGGACCCAGCTCCATCTTCCATGGCTTCGGACAGTGGACGATCAGTGCTTCCGAGCGATTCAGTGTCGCATGGTGCCCATCAGTGCGGATGATGGAACACAGCCAACACCACAGGTGGGTGTGGAGTCGCCAAAGGCATCAACTTCATTTGTTTCATGGTTATTTTAAAGACACGAGTCTTGCGTTTTGGAACCTTGTTTCTCATCTGTTTTGGAAGGGTCGGGTTCGAACTTTCAAAAGGAGGGCTCTGTTCATCGTCCTTTCTGGTTCTGGCCAAACACATTGATTTGGTTGCAGGGAAGAGCACATTTGCCTGGTGTATGAAGGTGTTCCAAAATCCAAGAAGGAAGGGACATTTTCGATGGATAATGTTTGAAACTCGATTTTGTTTTCAATGATTTTCATTTGTTTGTGACTTGAAATGCGCGATTTTGCATTTGCATTACCATCTAAAGACACACATGCTGTCTGTGCATCTGTGCTCCATTGCTCCAAGGCTCATGTTCCCTCCACTCCAGTGTTGGACACCCTTTCTGCTGACCGGGGACCCGAGTCCGACTGCCCAAGGGTGGGACCCTGAACGTCATTTCACCTTGCTTCGTGGCCCTACTCCTCTACGGCGCGTTGGCGCCAGCTCCGGTAGTTTTTAAAGAGGTGGCCTTGGAAGCTGAATTCCACAACACGTCTTCATAGGGTTGCCCTCAATGACATGCTGACATGTCGAAAGAAGACAATCAGCAACTCAGCATGAAATCAAAAAGGGAACAGGTTGGATGTCCACTCCGACAACGAACGAAATGCTCTCTCACTGATGCAAACTGTCATCATGTCATTTGCCCGCGGTCTCACCTCCAGCAAGCCGGAGCTGTTGGAGCACCTGTGTCTGCTTCCTGTCCAAACAGCGCAAGGCCTTGTTGAGCAATTCGAGCGACTGAATACAATCAATGCGTCCCAACGGATGGCCTGTCGCTCCAACTTGGGGTGTCGCGCCAACTTTGACATCGGGCGTGATGACAAATCATTTGCGCAGCAGAAGCATGTGAGAAGTTGCACGAGTGTGCAGGTGCGCCGGCATTGCCACAGAAGTGCTAGAGAGGTCGACGAAAGGCAAGGAGTTTGCAACCGCAAGGCGAGGGCCCAGAAGGCTAAAATC